AATATGGATCATGCGAAACAAAAATGCAGAATGAATCAATTAGAATACTATAATAAGAAGAGATTTATTATAATGCTTTGTCTGCATTAGGAGAAAAACAATTATGTGAAAAAAGTAGAATAACTTATGTTTGGAGATCAGTTTTTTACTAAATAATACTGCGGAGGGAAAATTTAGCGATTACGATTAAGTGGGAGAAAAAAAACTTAAGAGCAGAAGTTAAGGAAAACTTAATGTAAAGTTATGAGAATTATGGTTTGCTCAATTAGGGATTTTTTTGGAGATGCAATATTGAAAGGGTTATTATTCTGTTGTGTACTTTGCATATTAAGATCACTAGTTGGAAAACCACGGTTAAATGAATGGAAATGCAGGAAAAAAGAAAATGAAAACTAATTTGTGAGGGCAACCAAATTGATATTTACAACCCCTGGATGTTGATTCAAGTTCCTCAATTGAGGATGAAGAAGATGATTGATGAGCCAGACCCTGGGTGTATGTGCTAGCATAACCTCTCCCCAGAAGGGTGACCCTTTACGATGCGCAAAGTGTCTGGGTCGAAGAAGATGTCTACACTGCAAGAAACCTTTTAATAGTATAATGTATTTTTATGTTTGACATATTTTACATAACTGTGACAATAACAGACAATGCTGAACCAATTTCATCCTCACACTTGTAACCATGTTTAATTTTTGTTTGATTAGGGAGCAGAGAGTCTTTTACTTTCTCCATTGAAAGAAAAAGAAAAACAACTGAAAGAAAGAAAAATGTATGGAGAGAGATGTTTGGCTCGAATGCTCCTCCGGAGTGTGGGGGCATGATCCAGTTATTGGAAAGGAGACTGCGTGACTTAATTTAGTCACTAGGTAGCATAACTGAGGGGGCTGGATTTTGAAACTACACTCTGGAAAAGGATAGTGAATGTGGGGCTTAGATAAGCCCCAGAGGAGGGAATGTTGAAGATTTTATTATTCAGAAAACAAGTAACTCAGCCGTATAAGAATACACAATTATTTCTCTGTCTAGGTGACTTTGAAAGCTGCAAAGACCTTCTGTAAAAAGACCCTGAATGTCAATTCTATTCTGAGAAGTCACATGGTGCAAGACCTTCACCCAAAACTATCTATAAGTGTATGACCATCTTTGGAAAAGGATGTATGCATATATGTGAGAAGCTGGGCACTGATCAGGAGTGATCGCCTGCAGGAGGAAGGGATCTCCTGTTGGAGGGAGTGATCCCCTGCAGAAGATGCTCGGCTTTGTTTGTTAATAAAGTATAATATTTCTGGCATCAAAGATCTCTGCGAAGTTATTTTACAGAACAATTGAAACCACTTCACAGAGCACTGCAGTGTTATATCCAGAGGTCCTCCTCATGGCGGAAGTCGGACCAGTTGCTGGTGTGTTTTGGGTCGCCCAAGAAGGGGCTTCCCGCCTCTAAGCAGACCATCAGCAACTGGATCGTTCAGACTATTTCCCTGGCCTATCAGGTGGGCAATTTGCCTTCACTTATGGCCGTGAGGGCTCACTCCACCAGAGGCATAGCATCCTCTAGAGCCCTCCTTTCAGGGGTTTCTATACATGACATATGTGAGGCGGCTGGCTGGGCCACTCTGCACACATTCGTGAGGTTTTACAGTCTGGACCTTCCCTCTACACCCGGTTGTTGTGCCTGAAGACAGCTTCACACTAGGATGAGCAGGGTTCGTTGTGGTATAGTGGGTATCTCGTTCCCCTAGTGTCGTCACCGACGCAGTTCGAGTTCCCTCGAAAGGGAACTTCTCGGGTTACGTATGTAACCCTTGTTCCCTGAGCAGGGGCGGACTTAACCATTAGGCAAAGGTCGGCAATTGCCTTGGGCCCCGAGCTAGCTAGGGGCCCCCAAAATGCCCCATTAAATTATACTTATGTTTTTATTTATTTTTTACTTTTCGCAAATTATATATTTCTAAAAAACATTTGCGACAAAAGGCATCAAATCATTAGTGTCGCAGACAGGAGGGGCCCCCCACCTCACTACATTGGACTATTCCATTATCTCACTTTCTGCGTGCGAAAGTGACAAGGCTAATGCGCCAAAAAACTGACGGAGAAAAATAAGTTATTGACAGACAGTGTAGGCTACAGAGTGACAGACAGAGAAGCTACCCAAGCGGTGCTGAAAAAGCAGGAAGCGAGAGGAAAGCAAAACGTTTTTAGCAAAATTGCAGAAGGTAACAAACTTTTTTGTGATGCCCGGTATGTGCTAACGATATGTTGCAAGTCCATGGCCGTAACCAGCTATGAGGTGACCGAGGTCCGGAACTCTGTCATATTTTACATTCAAAAATAAAATGTCAAGCTCTCTGAATGATTAATTAGCCGTTTAAACCACCCCATATGAGTGTTTGCAATGCATGTTGCTGCGAGAAGCTAGCGCAGTGAACGGGGCTTGAGAGCGTTGTGAGTGAGGGCGCGCGTGCAGCCTCCGTGTTGCCAGATCCACCTAATGGAAAGGTGGCAGTAGTCTTCTGGACTTGTTTTTTCTGATTTAATGTGACACTTTAGGAAATTATTAAAGTGGAAAGTTGCATGTTAGGGTTAGTGATATATTAATCTTATTTCCAAAACACAAGCTTTGAACTTATTTCGGATTATTATTATTTTGTTTTCTTGTTTTTCGTAGCAATATCTGGTAACATTTTACTGTCGGCATTAATAAAAAAAAAGCTTATAGACAAACTGTAATTGCATAAAGCTACCACATTCGGTAAGACAAACGCAATGATCATCATCGTGATTATCTGTAAGAAATGTATAACACTATCAAAAACTATAGCATAATACAGATCTGTATGAATGAAATTTGCCAAATAACTTACTGGCCAGCAGGAAGACGGCTCATACTGTTTAGTTAACCTTTCACAAAGTCATCATAAAAAACATTAATTAAAGCAGTGTTTCTCAACTAGCAATCTATTCAGTCAGCATTTGTGTTTGATGATCTCTGTGAATTACAGAAATATAAGACTTGCTAGACCTACCTTTTTTCTATATTTCTTTGCACAAAACTCTCCAGAAAGTGCCATGTAATAGTTTATTTAAAAAAAAAAAATCTGATTTTTTTTTTTCGTTCTCTTTTAAAGATTGGATGGGGGGGCCCCAAACTACCTTCGCCTTGGGCCCCCAATTTGCTAAATCCGCCACTGTCCCTGAGAAAGGGAACGAGACACTGTGTCGGTTCGCCACACCTCACCCCGCCTGGAGCACTTGCTTCAAAGCAAACAGCTGACTTTGCTTGTGCCAGCGTGCTCTTATACACATCCGCGTATGCCGTTACACGCTACATCATCACGCAACACCAATAGGATTGCATTTGATTTCATTCATTAATTCAGACGCGCTACGCTGAAGGGCGTTCCCCTAGTGTCGTCACCGACGCAGTGTCTCGTTCCCTTTCTCAGGGAACAAGGGTTACATACGTAACCTGAGTTGTATAAAGTTGGTTGAAAAAAAGGACTCTGTAAATGTGTATAGTACATTAGTATAGTGAATAATAGCAAAGGCACTCACCCCTGTAATACTCTCTTCAATACACATTTTACACAAACACCACTAATATATATTTATTTATTGTATTTTAGTTACATTGTTACATTTATTTCTTTTTTAAGGAAAGAAAACAATAGAGAAAGTGTAAAAGTTTTACCATTTTGCGACGATGGAAGTTATAATTTACAGTCAAATTACATTAATGTGATACCATTAAACATGTTTATTTATATAGTTATACACTCACCTAAAGGATTATTAGGAACACCATACTAATACTGTGTTTGACCCCCTTTCGCCTTCAGAACTCCCTTAATTCTACGTGGCATTGATTCAACAAGGTGCTGAAAGCATTCTTTAGAAATGTTGGCCCATATTGATAGGATAGCATCTTGCAGTTGATGGAGATTTGTGGGATGCACATCCAGGGCACGAAGCTCCCTTTCCACCACATCCCAAAGATGCTCTATTGGGTTGAGATCTGGTGACTGTGGGGGCCATTTTAGTACAGTGAACTCATTGTCATGTTCAAGAAACCAATTTGAAATGATTCGAGCTTTGTGACATGGTGCATTATCCTGCTGGAAGTAGCCATCAGAGGATGGGTGCATGGTGGCCATAAAGGGATGGACATGGTCAGAAACAATGCTCAGGTAGGCCGTGACATTTAAACGATGCCCAATTTGCACTAAGAGGCCTATAGTGTGCCAAGAAAACATCCCCCACACCATTACACCACCACCACCAGCCTGCACAGTGGTAACAAGGCATGATGGATCCATGTTCTCATTCCGTTTACGCCAAATTCTGACTCTACCATCTGAATGTCTCAACAGAAATCGAGACTAATCAGACCAGGCAACATTTTTCCAGTCTTCAACTGTCCAATTTTGGTGAGCTCTTGCAAATTGTAGCCTCTTTTTCCTATTTGTAGTGGAGATGAGTGGTACCCAGTGGGGTCTTCTGCTGTTGTAGCCCATCCGCCTCAAGGTTGTGCGCAAGGTTGTGGCTTCACAAATGCTTTGCTGCATACCTCGGTTGTAACGAGTTGTTATTTCAGTCAAAGTTGCTCTTCTATCAGCATGAATCAGTCGGCCCATTCTCCTCTGACCTCTAGCATCAACAAGGCATTTTCGCCCACAGGACTGCCGCATACTGGATGTTTTTCCCTTTTCACACCATTCTTTGTAAACCCTAGAAATGGTTGTGCGTGAAAATCCCAGTAAATGAGCAGATTGTGAAATACTCGGACCGGCCCGTCTGGCACCAACAACCATGCCACGCTCAAAATTCCTTAAATCACCTTTCTTTCCCATTCTGACATTCAGTTTGGAGTTCAGGAGATTGTCTTGACCAGGACCACACCCCTAAATGCATTGAAGCAACTGCCATGTGATTGGTTGATTAGATAATTGCATTAATGAGAAATTGAACAGGTGTTCCTAATAATCCTTTAGGTGAGTGTATTACTGTTTATACAGAAGTAAATAATTCACAAAAATGCTTTTAGAAACAAAAGCAAGATATAAATCTACAAGTAAAACATTTTTTTTAGTTTGCCCAAGCTGTGAAACAGGCCACCATCATTTAATGTTGTAACTGCTTGATGACACATGTAGGCGTTACCATTTGTGCCTCCGCTTTCTCATCCTCATCAATGAGATGCTGAATATAACATGAAGTACCCACTAATACATGGCCAGTGGTCTGCATAGTGAACAGGGTCCATCTTAGGGCTTCCCTTTTAACAGAAAACAAGAACAGTGAGACATAAGCCTTTCGTGTTTACTCTCTTAGCACTTTATATGTTCATGTAAATTACCTTTTTAAAAGATAATTTCTTTTTAAAAGATAATAATCTACTGTTTTTTAAATATAATTTATAATTGACTGCACTTCAATAATAATTTTTGTCATATAGAAGCCCTCAGAAGCCATTCATTATTTTTTTGTCTTGTTTTCTTGGGATTTTGAAAATGAAGAGGTTAAGAGTAACATTTAAAATATAAATAAATATAGAATATATTATATGTTTATCTAAGAATATACATCATTTTAAAAATTATATTTTACTTAATTTCAATCTGTTGGACCAAAAAACTATGGTTTATGTACTGTATATGTATAGCAGCCGAATGAGTAAGTATAAGCCTGGTTACTGACAAATCGTCTCTAATTGCTTATGCCTCCTGGTTCCCTGAGAAGGGGAATGCTGCTTCTTGGTGTTGACGCTATGGGGAACGCCATCAGCATGACCGGCACGTGTAAACAAATGCCAATATTCATTGGTAGATGGCAGTACATGACATCACAGGCAGAGTATAAAAAGGGAGCCTGAGTCACACATCATCAACTCTTTTGTCTGTAGGAGACGTTCAGGCAAGCCCGAAGCAGGGCAATGGCACACAGCTTCTTGTTGCTCAATGACTTCTCAGGGAACTGGGTTGCATACACAACCTGAGACATTCCCTTTTGAAGTGGAACTTAGATGCTGTGTCTTAGTGTTGACGCTATGGGGAACCAATACCAACTACATCATGCTTAAGGAATGCCTGCCCTTCTATGCTGTTAATACGCACAAAAATAGTGGGCATAACATCAAAGACTCTACGGAATTCAGCTGGAGTGCATCAACTCTAAGGGCGTGACTTGCAAAAAGCTACATACTCCCTAAGCCAATAAAAATCCCCAAGCTTCTATTCTCCAGAACAAGGGAAGTCCTGGTATGTACTCGCTTCCTCCCTACCTAGTGGAACAGGCCTCAGACCAAAGCCCCAAGAGCAGAGCTCTCCCGAGAGCTCACCCGAGGCATCATCCTGTAGCCATTATCTCTCGCCCCTGCGATGTTACTATAATCAAGGATAGGGGGGTTGGACAAGCGAGATGATGGCAACAGAGCTCGTAGGAGAAGCCCAACAGGGAAAAACTCCCATCAGACTCCTCCCTTCACTCCACCTAGAATCCCCGTGATCAATCCCACCATGCCACATTGACGGCAATGGGACCTGAATAGATTTTCATCCCTCAAGAGAGAATCAAGCATGTGTGGAGCTTTCCACAGCGAAAGCAACACAATGAATGCATTCAACTCTCTCAAGATATGCTTGATTCTCATCCCTCAAGAGAGAATCAAGCATGTGTGGACCTTCCCACAGTTAACGCATCACAATGAATGCATTCAACTCCCACGAGAGCTGAACACACTGTGGAATAGGCAAGAAATGACTGAGGTGCCCTTGAGCAAGGCACCTAACTCCCAATCTAGCTTTCTAGCATCTAGCTCCATGTGTGTGTGATGGAACTACTTTGGATAGGTTAAATGCAGATGACAAATTCCGAGTATGGCTTACTGTGATAGGGACCCGAGCAGTCACAAGGATAATCACACCAGGCATCCGTTTAAAGGTCATTCCAAAAGAAACATTAAATGCAATTAAGTGAAAGGGGTCCATAAACAGTGAATAATAGCAAAAAAAAAGAAACAAAGGTTACAAAAACAGTCTTTAAACTAGCACTGTTGAGGTACTAAAACTAGAACCAACTTCTCTCACTAACTGTTGGAGACCGAAGTTTCTCATGCTCAAGCAGCATTTACAACCTTTGCATTAAGCACCAAACCACTCTCTATTCCCCCATCTCCCTTCTGATCACTCTTAAATGCATAATTTCCCCACCTTTAGTTAATTGAAATATACCATTTTCTGTAAAACTAACTCTCTGATGATTGCACTCTTGTCTCTCTCTACATTTCAGCAAGTTCCCTCAATGATAGTTAAGACAAAGAGTTTAAAAACAATCAGTAAATGCAACATACAGGCAATAGAAAAACAAATATTGTCATTTGCACAACTGATATTTCTTAAATTAGTAAAATGAACATTTCTCACCACCCAGGGTGAGCACATCCCTAGAGGTTATGCTCAATCCTCTACCCACAGGAAATAAAACAGTAAAAATCCACATGAACAATTACAATATGCATGATCTGGAGAACAATAATAACACAGTTTTGAGGAATGGAGATGCAACACTGGATAGTGTACATTCATCCGTTTGTTATCTCAGAATAAACAACTTCAGGCTGATGCAAGAGATAACAACCGGCTGGATGTACATTATCCCTTATATATCAGGTGCGAATGCTCTGCATACCCAAGCCATTAGTAGACTTGCTGATTAGTATTGGCACCATACATTACTATAAATTCACTTTTTGAGGTGTACCATAAAGCTTACTTGATAAAATGTTGGGAATATGTATATTACTGTCTGTCATTTATTTATTTGCCAAACGACGGTAATTTTCTTCAAATCTCCAAATTATTGTAGAAATTATTCGGGTAAGCGGATCCACAGCAGCTTTGGCGCCTACACTCTGTTATGTTTCGTCATCATTGACCCATTGTTCTCATTGATTTGCTGGCATATGGGGGATTTCATGCGCAGAGAAAGCTGTCCATGGCATGGATCGCTCTAGCCTGGTTCTACCAGACTCTCGAACATTTCATTTGTACAGAGAGTCTGGCACCGCTCCATTGACAATCGTTAACTTCCTTGTAGGCGGCTAATCTATTGAAGTGTAAAACTATTGGATCTGCCCAGAGTCACTCTGGATCTGCCACCAATCGCTAACGTTTGCTCGTGATGTATGTCGAACCCCGTGGGGAGGAGGGCCACAACATCATGGCCAAAACAAAACTAAGCAAAGATTGTTTTTGCTCCGGCTTTAACTTCTTGATATTCGGCAGCGTTGCTACAACGGACCGAATGGCTTCGCTCGCATCTTTCTCCGCTGCCATTACTGAACTACAACTCAAAATAATGCACGATGTCATCGGTCTCAGCCACTCCCTCTGTTCGCTGATTGACCCTACACAAAATTGATAGGAGAAAACCAAAGTCTACAGCAGAATCCCAGACGTAGTACTGAAGGAAAATGAAATTGAGCGGAAGTGCGTGGGAGGGCGCAGCCAGGCTAGGATCGCTCGCCCAAGAGGAAAAATGTGCTGCTGCTGCGAGATCTCGATCAACTGAAATCACATTGTTTTTGATACAAAACTAAATTAAGTGAAAATAGTTTGTTGAAGTCATCAATTTGCATCATTGCAATTTATTTTTAAAGAATACTTATATTTTTATTATACTAACATTTATTGTAATTATATTTTACTTTTATTTTATTTATTTATTACAGGCTGCTAATATTTATTATATTATACTATACTATACTATACTTATATTTAATTATTTTTGTTTAGCCCTTGACACCCCCTAATGGCCATTTTTAAAGGTGTTGTATCTCCATAAGGAGTACTGTATCTTGTGATCGATGCAAGTGATTATGTTGATTTTGGACTCATTTCAATTGGGAGCATCCACTGTAAGTAATTATTTACCATTTTCTACGATCTGTGCATGTTTCATGAAGTTACAAGTGAAAACGCCACGTGAAAGCTAAAATTGATTTTACTTGGCTACATGTGTGCCTGTGGAGTTTTATGTGTTTTAACTCCGTGAGCAGTATCTCGTGATAGACGCTATGGATTGTTGATTTTTGACTCTTTTTGACTTTTAATCGAATCTGAATCTGCTGTAAATAATGATGTGTCATTTTCCACAATCGGAGCATGTTTCATGACGTTACGAGCGAAAACGCCACATGAATGCAGCATACGTATACTATTTACATATGACCTTTCAAATGACATATGGATGACACATGACATCTTTCTAGTACATTGCAGTACATAGTACAAAACATATTTCATATATTATGAAAAAGTTTTTTTTATTTAACAGCAAACAACTCAGCACAACTTAGGAGTAAATCAAATTGGCTACATGCATTGTACAATTCAGATTTCAAATTACAGCTATTTTGTGTTGATCAAGGCAGTATTTCTGAAAAATATGATTATTCATTTTTGAGTGGTTAGGTGGCACCCACCGGTGGTACACTCCGTTTTTGAGGGATTTCTCAGTTCTGGTTAAAGAGTTGATCAAAATGGTTTGATGAAAAGCTGAGTTTCTAAACTTTAAAATGTAAACAGTATACAATGCAAAACAACTACAGTATCTCACGAAAGTGAGTACACCCCTCATATTTCAGCAAACATTTTAGTATATCTTCTCAAGGGACAATACTATAGAAATGAAACTTGGATATTTTTAGAGTAGTCAATGTGCTGCTTGTATAGCCGTGTATATTTACTGTCCTCTGAAAATAACTCAACATACAGCCATTATTGTCAAAATAGCTGGCAACAAAAGTGACTATATAAAAAACTGTATATAAAAATAAAACACTCAATTTCTTGGAAATATGCATGTTCATTCATAGAAATGTTTGTCAATGAATTAATGGAAAGGCCCCTTTTTAAGGGCCTTATAGCCGCGTTCCCATCGATATTACCCGGAACAACTTTTTTTCCCTCAGACCTGTTGCTGTCTGCGTTTCCACCATGGTCTAAGTACCGGGAAGATTAGGCAAATAGTCGGGTGATGTAGGACTGCGCTACTTTCCAGTTCCCTATGGATTTCATCCTCTGAATTTAAGCTTAATAAAGCCTGAACCTCATCATCGGTCCATCAGCCGTATTTTTCAAACTCCATTGTTGATTAGAATAGCAAACAACTGTCACTGCACGCACCGCAACAGATGAAATGCTGCGTGGAGTCAACCAATCAAAATGCGGCAAGAACTCAACCAATCAGCATGTTCAGCGCCCAAGTCCCACCCCTAAAAGTTCCTGAACTTTGAAAAAGTACTACCGGAGCCCGTCTACGGAGAGTCTGGCCACTCCCTATTAAGTCCTATTGTACCGAATTTTGGTTGTAGTTCCACCAGAATTCCACTGGGGGCGATCGCCTGAGTGCAAAATTAATGGGAGTCTATGGAGCTAGACAGCTAAATTTGTTTCTTTCACCCGATTACCGTTGAGAAATCTCAGATTTTATTGTATGTTTTGAAAGTTCAACATGGGTTATAGGTCGAAAGTTGAATGAACGAGTACTTATGTCCTTTCGATTTCTTACAGGTTGAGTTGTTGTTTTGCATAACACGCTAGCATTCTGCTAGTGAACGCTGATTGGTCAGTGAAGGACTGATTACGACCAGAGATACCGCTTGATGACATTGTGGCATCCGAAGCGGGACCAGAATGTTAAGAACTTTAGTTTAACAAAAACTCTTCTAGCACGTGTCAGCTGTGTTGTCGATGCCTCGAGAGAGAAAAAAAGTGCAGAGTGCAAAAGCACCAAAGTGACTAAAGGATTGCCGTAAAGCAGTATCTCTGGTCGTACGATGTGTATGACGTCATTGACATTTTAAAATACGTTTTAAAGCAAATAAGTGACTTTAAAAAATCGAACACCCAGCAATGTGTAATTTCTTTGCATCTCCTTTCGAATACAACATTCAAATTACTAGACAAAAAATTATATCCTGAGAAAAGTGGATTTTGAGGGGTATAGCTCCATAGACATCCATTCATTCTGCACTCGTCCTGTGAACTGTAACCAGTTCAGAAGCCGGAAGTTTACTGAGAGTGGAAGTTCTCCCCTTATTAGACATTCTATGGTACTACCTCGCAAGCAGGGACTTTCTGAGGGGGAAATATTTACCCGGAACTTCATTTAGACCCTGGTTCCTGTGCTGGAAACACACAGAGTACCACCCTAAAGTCCATAGTTCCTGGGGAAAGTTCCTGCGGTGGAAACGCGGCTTATTTCTTTTTCAATAGGGAATGCAGTTGAGAGCGAACTCGTCCTAAATTCATTTGGGTCCTAAAACCGTCTTTTCTCGCTGATCTGTATTTGTTGCCATGGTAACCAGAGGCCTTTTCTGCCTTTTGGATTTTTTTTACAGACACCATGGCACCTAGTTTTGACACCATAGCACCTAGTGATTACAGCAGTTTGTAGAAAACAGACAGAAAATAAAGGTTGTAATCTTAAAAAATTATTTCACTATAATTTTATAAATTCTTCCCTTAGTTTGGTTACATTTTTTTAGGTTACATTTAATTAAATTTCACAAGTTTGTGTGCCATCTTTTGCAGTTCTAACTACTATGTCACATTCATTAATATAATATTTATTGATCTCAAGAAAGCATTTTTTGTTATTGTTGATATCGTAAGAAAATTAGAATTGTAAATGACTTAATGACTTATTTTGCCTGTGATTTTGAGAAAACAAGACAAAAAGTAATAAAAATGGCCTGTGTCGACTTACATACTTTAATTGTTATATTATTTCTTTCTCTTACTATCTCAAACTGGATGATTCTCAACGCATGGACACGCATGCACACACAAACTTACCTTAGCATCCTTTTTGCCTTATAGCACTGCAAATCATATGAAACAGAGTACATTCCATACAAGGTTGCCTGTACATTTAAGGATCCAATAAAATCATTTGGATGGTTTTTGTAAAGATCAAAGGTCAGTTTGGCTACATCCTTCCTCATCTGTGTCCAGCCGAATCCAGGATCACTCTTCGTTGTATTTTTCTGTGTAGTAATGATAAGGAAACAAAAACAAGATTTCACTTAAATGTGTTATCAGGTATTCAGTCAAAAACGTCTCGGTTACGTATGTAACCCTAGTTCCCTGATAGGGAACGAGACGCTGCGTCAAACGCTGCGGGAACGCCCCTGCGTTGTGCGTCATGAAGCACGTATGGAATCAGCCCAATGGAGAGATGAAACGTCATAGGCGGGTGACGTCATCGACCAGGAAACTATAAAGCACCCCAAAAACACAAGCGCATTAGCTTCTGATAGGCTTGAAGGAAGCGCTAACGGGAGTGCCGGGAGTATGGCGGAGCGACGCAGCGTCTCGTTCCCTATCAGGGAACTAGGGTTACATACGTAACCGAGACGTTCCCTTTAAAGGGAACTTCGAGCTGCGTCAAACGCTGCGGGAACGCGAATACCCACGTCGCCATAGGACCAAATGACCGTCATGTGAGACTAGCGCACAGAGGACGAGAGCACCTGTGCCCCAGAGGTAGAGCTTAAGTCTAGGTCATAGAACTTAATAAAAGTATGCGGTGAAGACCATCCAGCCGCATCACAAACATTACTCAGGGAAACCCCCGACAAAAGAGCTTTAGAAGCAGCCATACTCCTGGTAGAGTGAGCTCGGACAACCAAAGGTGAAGGCTGGCCAGCCGACTCATAAGCAAGTGAGATAGCCTCAACCACCCACTTGCTCATTCTCTGTTTAGACGCAGGACACCCTTTCCTGGGTGGCCCGAAACATACAAAAAGTTGTTCTGATCTCCTCCACAGGGCAGCTCTGTGGACATAAGCGTCTAATGCCCTAACAGGGCAGAGTGAATTAAGTTTCTCCTGGTCCGATGACATAAATGGAGGAGGACAGAAAGCCTGCAGAACCGTAGGTCTAACAATATTAGTAGGAACCTTAGGAACGTAACCTGGTCTAGGATGCAGAAAAGCTTTAACCATGCCAGGTGCAAATTCCAGGCACGAGGGTGAAACCGACAGAGCCTGCAAATCTCCGATTCTTTTTAGTGAAGAGATAGCAAGCAAAAAGATAGTCTTAAAAGTGAGAAACTTCTCGGGAACTTCTTCGATAGGTTCAAAAGGAGCTAGGGAAAGACCTTCTAATACAATGGCCAGATCCCAAGTCGGCACCCTCGTACGAACTGCTGGCCTCAGCCTCAAAGTGCCACGGAGGAAACGAGTTATAAGCGGGTGTCTCCCAAGAGAAACTCCACTGAAAGGGACGTGGTAAGCAGCTAGTGCCGCCACATACACCTTTAGTGTGGAGGGGGATAACCCTGTGGAGAAGCGCTCCTGCAGGAATTCCAGCACTGCACCCACTGGGCAGTTAACTGGGTCCTGCAGGTGTTCTCCACACCAAGAAGTGAAAAGTTTCCACTTCAAGGCATAAAGCTTCCTCGTGGATGGAGCTCTGGAGTTAAGAATGGTCTCAACAACCTCGGTTGAGAGACCGGAGTCTATGAGCTGGGCCCCCTCAGAGGCCAAGCCCACAGTTTCCACAATTCTGGGCGGGGGTGAAGTATCGTGCCCCCCGCCTGGGAGAGTAGATCCCTCCTGACCGGGAGCTCCAAAGGAGAACCGTCCAGGAGAGAAATCAGGTCCGCAAACCATACTCGGGCCGGCCAGAACGGGGCTACTAGTAGTAGACTGACCCCGTCCCGGCGGACCCTCTCCAGAACTCCTGGTAACAGAGCAATCGGGGGAAAGGCGTACAGACGTGACCTCGGCCACGGCTGCACCATAGCATCCAACCCCAGGGGGGCTGGAAGAGTGATGGAGAACCACCGATGACAATGAGTGGTCTCCTTGGAAGCGAATAGGTCCACCTCGGCGCGACCGAAACTCAACCAAAGGAGCTCCACCACCTCGGGGTGGAGTCTCCATTCCCCTGGCCTCGGCCCCTGCCTCGACAGGGAGTCTGCTACCACATTCAAATACCCAGGGAGATACATTGCTCTCAGAGATAGTAGCTTCCCTTGGGACCACAGGAGGATCTGACGGGCCAACTTGTAAAGCCGGCGAGACCGCAGGCCCCCCTGATGATTTATATAAGAGACCACCGACGTGTTGTCTGATTGAACTAACACATGATGGCCTCTCAGGTCTGTTAGGAAGTGTTTCAGAGCCTGAAACACAGCCAACATCTCTAGACAATTTATGTGCCACGAAAGATGATGATCCTGCCACAGACCTTGGGCTGGGCGACCACTCATGACCGCCCCCCACCCTGTGAGGGAAGCATCCGTCGTTAGCGTTATGCGACGACAAAGAGCCCCCAGCACAGGACCTTTGGATAGGAACCAAGTTTCTCTCCACATGACCAGAGCACGAAGGCAGCGCCGCGTGACTTTGAACGTGCGGAGCGGATTTCCCCTCGGGGAGAATCCCTTGGTCCTGAGCCACCACTGTAGCGGTCTCATGTACAACAGGCCGCAAGGTATAACGTTGGACGCTGCTGCCATCAGACCCAACAGTCTCTGAAACTGCTTGACAGTGAGTAGCTGGCCTAACTTCACTTGTTTCACAGCTGAGAGAATCGAAGCGATGCGGGTCGGAGAGAGTCGCGCCCGCATCGATACCGAATCCCAAACGACACCCAGAAAAGTGGTCTTCTGGGAAGGAGATAATACACTTTTCTTTGCGTTCAGCCTCAACCCCAACTTTCTGATATGAGCGAGGACGACATCTCGATGCCGAACCGCCATCTGCTCGGTCTGAGCTAAAATCAACCAATCGTCGATGTAATTGAGAATCCGAATGCCCTGAAGCCTCAGAGGCACTAGTGCTGCATCCATGCATTTCGTGAAAGTGCGGGGAGATAAAGCTAGGCCAAACGGAAGAACCCTGTACTGGTATGCCTCGCCCCCGAAGGCGAACCTCAGGAACTTCCTGTGTTGTGGAAGGATGGACACATGGAAGTATGCGTCCTTCAGATCTATCGTGACAAACCAGTCCTCGGACCTGATTTGAGACACGATCTGCTTGATAGTGAGCATCTTGAATTTTAGCTTCCCTACCGAGCGATTCAATATGCGCAGGTCTAAAATTGGACGCAACCCCCCATCCTTCTTTGGAACGATGAAATATCGGCTGTAATAACCTGACTCCAAACTGGGAGGAGGAACCCGTTCTATAGCCTCTTTTTGAAGGAGCGTTTTCACCTCTTGTTCCAATACCAGAGCCTGCTCGGGGCCCACCACTGTGTGCAGAACCCCTCTGAATTTTGGTGGACGACACCTGAACTGGATAGCATAACCCTTTTCTACTGTCTGCAGGACCCAATGAGATATTTTTGGAAGGCTTTTCCACTCTGCCAGAAATTCTACTAAGGGTACCAGCCTCTCGAGACTGGCCTCTGGTGTAACTTGAGCAGCAGACGCAGCGCCCTGTAACGGCGCACCGGCAGGGAACAACTGGTCTGACCACTCTGAGACCCTCCTCAGAGGGAGCGAGCGTCCCTCGGGAAAGCGCTCGCTGGGATCGTCTGTGCCCCGGCATAAAGGCGGGGTTGGCAGAACGAGCCCCTGAGGGCACCGAGGAGGAATGGGCACCGTAAAAAGAGGTGAACACCTTTCCGCCTCGGTGGGGACCACCCTCAGCATCCTGAACGGCTTGGCGTCAGGACTTCTTCTTAGCCGAAGCCTTCTTAGCCAATATAACTGTCCTCAGATCAGTTCTACTGGGAGAAGGCTTCGGCTGAGAGTGTCGCGGCTGAGCCCACTGTCCAGCAGGGGGAGCACGAGACGCGACACTCTGCCTCTGCTGCGCTCTATGTGATGAGCTCGAAGACGGCCGGGGCTGCTCCCGCCCAGCAGCCCCAGGGACATGAACTTTAAGGGGAAGAAACTTTTTAAAAGCTGCAGTTTGTTTCTTTTCTTCTTGGAATTTATCGATAACTGAATTCACAGCATCACCAAACAACCCCATGGGAGAAAGAGGAGCATCTAAAAGAAAAGCTTTTTCTCTCTCTTTAATATTAGTCTGATTTAACCACAAATGTCTTTCTGCGGCCACCAGAGCTGCCATAGAACGACCCATTAATTTGGCCGATTCTCTGGTGGCACGCAGGGATAAATCAGCAGCCTGACGCAGTTCGCGAACTACGTCAGTACTGACCTCCTCACTCTCACTCATGTCCCTTAGCAGATCAGCCTGGTATGCCTGCAAGATTGACATAGTATGCAGACATGACGCAGCCTGACCTGCTGCCGAATATGCTTTACCCACCAAAGCCGAAGTGTTTCTTAAAGGCTTGGTGGGTAATGCCGGTGCCTTAAAAGATGATGCTGCTTCGGGGGAGAGATGGCTCGCAAGCGTCTCTTCTACACGAGGCAAAGCACCATAACCATGAGCCTTGGCTCCCATAATATTAGCGTATGTTGAAGTCTGGGGACTAAACACTCTATATGACACCGGTTTTCTCCATGATTTCGACACCTCGGTGTGGAGATCATGGAAAAACGGCAGGCACCGGCGTGGAGGCTGCACACGTGACGGCAAAAATCTCTCATCCAACTTTGATTTAGAAACAGACTCCTGTCTAGTCACTGGCCATTCAATATTAAGTTTTTCAACAGCTCTTGTTAACACCTCCATAAGCTCATCACTCTCAGGAGTGTGGGGTGGCGAATCCTCCACATCTCCCTCAACACTAACAACATCAAGTTCCTCAGAACTGGATAGCTGCAGCATTGGTGCCTCAGCCCGAGCGGAAGAAACCGCAGCGCGTGCTTCCGAACCCGGGACTGAGGCACTGGATCTCACAGGTGAAGGGAGAGATAAGGCAGAGCCCGTCTCAAACCCCGCTGTGAGATCCATCTGCGATCCCCACGATAAGCGCCGCCGCTCTGCCTCGGCAGAAGCGGGACCCGAACCGCGGGGAGCGCGCACCGAACCGCTCTCCTCAAAGAGCGATCGGCGGGAGCGGAGCGTCCTTAACGGCAAACGCTCGCAATGCTCACAGTCTGCTCCCTCGAGAGCAA